ATGAACTGTGGTGAAGATAGGTATAGATACAAGAAACATTTGAGAATTTGAATTGACGGTGGAATAGCACAACCAAAATGGATAGACAAGTGTTTATATCATTATATGACAAGTGTAAATTTATTTTATGGTCAGTAAGGTCTTTTGATTATCTTGGAAACTCTGCTCTTGTCATAACTGAGCATTATTTTAAGAGAAATAAAATATATTCATTTATCTCTAAAGAAATAAGAAATTTCTTTCATTGGACTTGTAATTTACATCCAAGGAGATGATTTCCTTTGAGGCCAGCTAATTTATTCAGAATGTCTGGATTGAAAATGTTTCTTAGTCTGCTTAGTGTAGACAAAATTAGAAACCACTTTAGCCTAATGATTCGGAAGAAATGATTTCTTTAAAATTGTGATCATCTCAGTTTCTTTCATGTGATACAAATGTAAATTGCAAATGAGAACCTAAATGTGTCTGTCAGTTGGCTTTGCTAAGCAGAAATCTTCTAGCTGACTCATCCTGTTTGCAGAAGAATTATTTCAAAGTAACCTTTGGAAAACCCTGGTAGAAGTGGTTTGGATTAGTGAGATTGATAAATGTCAGTGTAAGAGGAGTATTCAATTATAGTTTGGATACCTCTGGTGCTTTGCAAGAGTTATAGCAAAGTAAAGCCAAGAGATGATGATGCCTTGGAGTTGTATTGATACAATACCTAGGAATAAATTTAACCAAAGAAGTAAAAGACTTGTACCCTGAAAACTACAAACATTGCTGAAAGTAATTAAAGACCTATATAAACGAAAAGACATTTCACGGATTGGAAGACTTAATATTGTTAAGATGCCAATACTAAAAGTGATCTACAGATTAATTGCAAGCCTTATCAAAATTTCAATGATCTTTTTGCAGAAATGGAAAAGTCAATATTCAAATTCATCTGGAATTGCAAGGGGCCCTGAATAGCCCTTTATGGATGTTCTTGAAAAAGAACAAAATTGGAGGATTTATACTTCTCAGTTTTAAAACTTACCCTTACCTCATACTATATATAAAACTAAGTTAAAACAACCAGCAAACTAAATATAAGAGCTAAAACCATAAAGCTATTAGACAAAAACGAGTAATTCTTCATGACGTTGGATTTGTTATTGGATTCTTAGATATGACACCAAAAGCATAAGCAACAAAATTTTAAAAATAGATGAATTAGATTTAATAAAAATTAACAACTTTTGTGCATCCAAGGACATTATCAAAATGAAAAGACAACCTACAAAATGGGAGAAAATATTTTCAGATCATATCTCTGATAAGGGTCTAGTATGCAGAATATATAAAGAGCTCTTACATGTCAACAGCGAAGACAGTGAGGCCAAGTGGGTATGTACCTGTAGTTCCAGCTACTCTGGAGGTTAAGGTGGGAGGATCAAGGCCAGTCTGGGTAACATAGTAAAACCCTGTCTCTAAAAACAAGAAAAGACAGTGCAGTTTTAAAAAAGGGTAAAGGACTTGAATAGACATTTCACAAAAGAATCACATGAAAAGATACTTAACATCATTAGTCATTATGGGAATGCAAATCAAAACCACAATGAGATACCACTTTACACCAACTAGAATTTTTTTTTTTAAAGGAAAATAATGAGTGTTGGTGAGGATGTAGAAAAATTGGAACCCTTGTACGTGGCTGGTTAGAAATGTAAAATATTTCAGCCACTATAAAAAAGAAACCAGTTTGGCACCTTCTCAAAAAGTTCAACATAGATTACCATATGACCCTGCAATTCTGCCCCGAAGTATATGCCCAAAAGAATTGAAAACAAGGTACCCCAACAAGTACATGTATACACATGTTCATAATAGCACTATTAAAAATAGGTGAAAGGTGGAAACAGCTCCAATGTCTATCAGCAGATGAATGGATAAACAAATTGAGGTCTATACATACAATGGAATATTTTTCCACCATAAAACAGAATGAAATATTAATCAGTGCTACATTGTGGGTGAGCTTTCAAAACTTTATGCCAAGTGAAAGAAGCCGGACACAATTGTCACATGTAATATAGTTCCATTTATATGAGTTGTTCAGAACAGATAAATATATAGAGACAATGCAGATGGTGGTAGGAGGCAAATGGAGCACTGTGGTACTGTTACTGGAAAGGTATTCAGGTTTAGACCCCAAGAGAGGATTCTTGGATCTCACGCAGCTGAGTCCATTAGGGAAAGCAAGTTTATTAAGAAAGTAGAGGAATAGGCCAAGTACAGTGGCTCATGCTTGTAATCCTAGTACTTTGAGAGGCTGAGGTGGGCGGATCACCGGAGGTCAGGAGTTTGAAACCAGCCTGGCCAACATGATGAAACCCCATCTCTACTAAAATTACAAAAAAAAAAAAATTAACTGGGTGTGGCTGTGGCTCCCTGTAATTCCAGCTACTTAGGAGGCCGAGGCAGGAGAGTTGATTGAACGTAGGACGCAAAGGTAGTGAGCCGAGATCACGCCATTGCACTCCAGCCTGGGCAACAAGAGTGAAACTCCACCTCAAAAAAAATAAAAAATAAATAAATAAATAAAAGGAATAAAAGAATGACTGCTCCTTAGACAAAGCAGTGTCATGGGCTGCTAGACTGAGTATACTTAAGGAAGGTATTGCGGTATTTCTTTTTTTTTTTGAGATGGAGTTTTGCTCTTGTTGCCCAGGCTGAAGTGCCATGGCGCCATCTTGGTTCACTGCAACCTCCGCCTCCGGGGTTCAAGCGATTCTTCTGCTGCAACTTCTGCCTTCTGAGTTCAACGGATTCTCCTGCCTCACCCTCCCGAGTAGCTGGGATTACAGGCGTACACCACCACGCCCAGCTAATTTTGTATTTTTAGTAGAGATAGGGTTTCTCCATGTTGGTTAGGCTGGTCTTGAACTCCTGACCTCAGGTGATCTACCTGCCTTGGCCTCCCAAAGTGCTGGGATTACAGGTGTAAGCTACAGTGCCCAGCCTGGTATTTCTTGATTATATGCTGAACAAAGGGTTTTCTGGGAGAGGGATGGGGAATTCCTAGAACTGAGGATTCCTCCCCTTTTTAGACCATGTAGGGTAACTTCCTGACATTTCCATGGCATTTGTAAACTGTCATGCATGAGTGGGAGTGTTTTTTAGCATGCTAATGTATTATAATTAGCAGGTAATGAGCAGTGAGGACCACCAGTGGTCATTTTCATCACCATCTTGGTTTTGGCGGGTTTTGGCCAGCTTCTTTATGGCACTCTGTTTTTATTAGTGGGGTCTTTGTGACCTGTATCTTGTGCTGACCTGTATCATCCCAACTAAGAATGGCCAGCCTCCTGGGATGTAGCCCAGCAGGCCTCAGCCTCATTTTACCCAACCCCTGTTCAAGATGGAGTGGAACAACTCTGACAACACTACAACTTTTTTTTCCAAGATGGAGACTCTTTGTGTTGCCCAGGCTAGAGTGCAGAAGCTCAATCTTGGCTCACTGCAACCTCCACCTTTTGGGTTCAAGCAGTTCTCCTGCCTCAGCCTCCTGAGTAGCTGGAATTACACGTGCCTGCCATCACACCCTGGTAATTTTTTTGTACTTTTAGTAGAGATGGGTTTTCACCATGTTGGCCAGGCTGGTCTTAAAGTCCTGACCTAAAGTGATCCACCCACCTCGGCCTCCTAAAGTGCTGGGATTACAGATGCGAGCTACTGCGCCTGGACCGCAGCACTACAACTTACAGGAGGAAGAGGGGAGTAAAACAAAATAAGTTTCCAATTAGATTTTTAAAGCCTTGATTTAAAGGATTAGACCAGAAAGTTGGACAAATGGGATGACATAAAGGAAAAAAAGGGAAATAAAAACAAATTATCATTAACCCAGAGCTGGGCTAGGTGGCATGTGCCTATAATCCCAGCTACTCAAGAGATTGAGGTGAGGGGATCACCTGAGCCCAGGAGCTTGAATCCAGCCTGGACAACATAGTGAGACTCCCATCTCTTAAAAAAAAAAAAAAAAATGGTGTCAAACTCTTTATGGAAATAAAATAACAACAACAAAAAATTATCATTAGCCTGTTTCAGGCAGGGGCTGGAATTTAACATCAAGGTGAGTTCTTATTACATGCAAAGAAGTGACCTATGAATTTTTTTTTTATTAGGTTCAGAATTATTATGTTAAATCTTTTGAGAATAAATCAAAATATTAGTAACTAATTTCACTGAAATTCTCAAACATAAGTATTAAAATTAAGAAACAAGGCTGGGCGCGGTGGCTCAAGCCTGTAATCCCAGCACTTTGGGAGGCCGAGGCGGGTGGATCACAAGGTCAAGAGATCGAGACCATCCTGGTCAACATGGTGAAACCCCGTCTCTACTAAAAATACAAAAAATTAGCTAGGCATGGTGGTGCGTGCCTGTAATCCCAGCTACTCAGGAGGCCGAGGCAGGAGAATTGCCTGAACCCAGGAGGCGGAGGTTGCGGTGAGCCGAGATCACGCCATTGCACTCCAGCCTGGGTAACATGAGTGAAACTCCGTCTCCAAAAAAAAAAGAAACAATGAATTTCATATTTTTTAGAGGGAAGGTTCACTCCTTTGGAAGTTGATAAAGAGAGCAGATGCACTTAAATATGGGACATTCTTTTGAACTTAGAATTTCAGATTATCCTCAGAGAATCCAGTATATAGGAGAAACTACAATTAGCTAAACTAATTTTAGTTACTTGAGTTCAGTGCAGCAATAAAAGGACAAAAAAATGAATGCAAAATTTGTCATGTGCTTATTAGGTCATAGTACAAATCAGTTATAAAATATACAGGAAATTTTTGTATACGTTGATTTGTTAATGGTGACTGATTTTTTACTTTGTTTTTATTATTTGGTAGCCCCTTTGTCACTGTAATATGTAATATTATTCTGTTAGTTTTGTTTTTGAGAAGATGGAGTTGCACCATGTCAGACAGAAAAATGCTCATTCTTGTCAGAATAAGGTTGTCTTTCCTCAATTGCAGATGATGAAAGCCATGAACAAGTCCAATGAGCATGTCCTAGCAGGAGGTGCCTGCTTCAATGAAAAGGCAGATTCTCATCTTGTGTGTGTGCAGAATGATGACGGAAACTATCAGACTCAGGCTATCAGTATTCACAATCAGCCCAGAAAAGGTGAGCATTTGAGGATAATGGAAGATTATACTGGACTTGGACAGTTAGGTACCTCAGTCCTATAACACTCACTTTCTAGATAGGTGACCACAAACAAATTAATTAACCTTTCCAACCATATTCTTCAGGATTACGCTGACTCCCCAAGTGGCCAGACTCAGAATTGCAAATGGGATATCTGTTATTGAGGGAAATATTTTGAAAATATGCCCTTAGGATATTGACAGGTCCAGTACTGGCATTTGAAGGTAAAAATAGGCCCCATAATGAGAGTATGTTTAGGTAAATTTGAAGCTTGTTGGATGGTATTTCCACAGAATGCTAATTAATATTTTGATAGGATTCTGAAGGAAGGTTCAGTGCTATTCAGAATGTGGTCTCCACACCCCAAGATGTCTGTGTGATTCAAATGCACATTTGACTTTGAGAAGCATTGCTTAAGGGGGCATTACCCAAAGTGTTTTCTCAGGCTCTATGCTGGTAAAAACTGTTCACATGAAAAAAATAAGTCTTGTTTAATACATTTAATCAAAGAAACCCTGTGTTTGGCCAGCCTCCGTGGCTCACGCCTGTAATCCCAGAACTTTGGGAGGCTGAGGCAGGAGCATCATTTGAGCTAAGGAGTTCAAGACAAGCCTGGGAAACATAGCAAGATCCTGTCTGTTAAAGAAAAAGAGCCAGGCACGGTGGCTGTTGATCTCACCATTTTCGAAGGCCAAAGCGGTTCATCTGAGAACAGGAGTTCGAGACCAGCCTGACCAACGTGGTGAAACCCCATCTCTACCAAAAATACAAAAAAAATTAGCTGGGTTTGGTGGCACATGCCTCTAATCCCAGCGACTCAGGAGGCTGAGGCAGGAGAATCGCTTGAACTTGGGAGGTGGAGGTTGCAGTGAGCCAAGCTCGCACCATTGCACTTCAGCTTGGGCAACAAGAGCAAAACTCCGTCTCAAAAA